AGGGATAGGGGTGGGTAGGTCAGCCAGGGTCCCCTCGTTGCTCCGTTCTCAGCACTCAGTGGAGAGTGTCATGAGGATGGACCTATCCTCTGACTGCATTTGCCTCCCAGTGCACTGTGGGACTTGTAGACGGAAAATAGTCATGTGCATGAATGCATGTGTATTGAAGAGTTGCATGTTCCTCACCCTACACTCCTACATGAGCTCAGTTGCTGTTGCCGCAGTGATGACAAGCTTAATGCATAACTGGCAACTAAAGTTGGGTAGAAAAACCCCTGGCTAATCAAAGGGTATTGTGTCAAATATAAGCTAGGTCACTTCTCTGGAATAAGAGCATTTGTACAGTGCCATTAACAATGGCATGTAAAACATGACCTCTGGCACCTGTGGGAAAGAGTGAGGTGTACCTCCGCTTTACCTGTGAGGAGCGGCAGGTGTGCCCAGGTGCACCTGGACCTCCTGTTGCCTAGGAGACTGATGCCATGCAGGTCCTGAGGCCTGCAAGCAGAATAGTACAGAGTCTGGAATGCTGTGGGGGTAAGGCTGTCTGCTAATCAGTCAATAAAGTCTGCTAATTCCAGGACCCTCAAACAGCAGGCAGAAAAAAGATTGCAACATGTCCAGGTTTAGTTTGGCTTTTCTAAGTGATTTAAAACCTGTATTCCAGCCAGGCTGTTGTTCTTTCGGTTGGCTGCGTAAGATGTGGTCCCTGGCTGGTGTTTATACTGGACGGCATCTCTGCGGAGAGAGGGAGATAGACCCCTTTAATAACCCTGGCTCGGCCTGCTCCATCTCGTGCCCACTCAGAGACACCTTCATCCTCACGCAGCGGGGATGTCCAACTGGAATACGGACACATCTGATCGTTTTTTACCTTTGGTTCCAACACGAGCATAGCACAGCACAGCACAGAACATGCACAGCCATTTCACTTAAGGATGGAAAGCTGCCATGATCTTGAAACAATTTTGAAAGAAACAGAACGGTAACATTTTATTTGATGTGCACAATTATAAAAACATGATGGATTCATTCATGAGGGCCGCACAGCTCCTTCACAGCTCTCTATCTAACTCTCCATCAGTGTTTTTACTGTATCAGCTCTGATAACTGACAAATACAGTACCACCTCTGACAAACCTGATTTTGAGTACTGAGCATTAAGATGGTAATTAATTCCAGCCCATTTTCTTGTGTGGAGAATGAGTGTTTAATTAGCACTCGTGCTCTGCCAGCTCCTTGCATCACTCAAACATCTTAATTGCATTCAAATTGATTTCATTCAGTGTGTTACTAATTAAATACTGCAGCTGCCCGAGGAAAAAAAAAACTGCAAACCAGAAACTGAATGAACTGAACGTAATCATAACAGCCCAGTTAGCACTAGCATCAGCATTATTTTAACTATGAGAACTGTTAAAAGCCCCAGTCTCAAGTTTTGATGTATGAAGATTAAAAAAAACAAAAATCACCAAACTGGGAGTCTCCTAATTGCTTTGTCAACCAAGGAGCTTGTTCCAAGAGCAGACTGAACCCTTCCGCTCAGACTCTGGTTCAAATCTGAACTGTTCTGTTTGCCAACAATGACTGGGTGCTCTCAGCAGTGGAACACAGTTGGCCTTGTTCCACCGGGAGTGAGTGGGCTTCGTCCCACCACTTGGGACGGCACACAGCGGGCATGCAGCTATCCTCCAATCAACGTTTGTTCTGCTGTGGTGCATTGTGGGACTTGTAGTATGAATAGTAGCCAGTGGCTGCATGCGAGCATATCAGAGGATTGAATTTGTGGTGTTTTGGTGCTGTGTGCATAGAGGGGGGTGTTGTGGAGAGGCAAGCTTAATGTTGTGGAACTGGCGATTCCACAACAAGGATGAAAAAGGGAAAAAAGTGTAAAAAGTAAACACTTTGTTTACGTTACTCAACGTAACTGAACCGAATAATGATTTGTGTGTGTGACAGGAAATCGGATTGTTTAGTTTTAAATCTGATAAGATGACAGAACCTCCCACCTAATGGCTCTGAAAATAAACAGCGATGGGGGGGTTGGGGGATTTAGTACGGAAGGTTTACAGCAAACAGGCACCTGGCCCTAGTGAAACCGCAGCGTGAGTCAGAGAGCCCGTTCTGGGCTTTACTCAGATGGTTCCGGGCAGGGCCTTGCCGAAAAACGCAGGGGAGGAGTTAAACAGACCGGCGCGCGAGGAAAAGGCCGCGTCTGAGCCCGAGACCGCAGTGGTGGACACACAGACGCGCCTCGCAGTGAGGGAAGATGCTACACCGCCGCAGAGGCTTATGGGAGAAGTGCTCGGGCAACGTCGGAGCGGCAGGTTTAGTTTCCAGGCCGCTCCATTGCCACAGCCCTCAAGAGTTTAATAGAACATAAAGCAGTAATGATTGTGGTGGCGTTACAGTGACATTTTAATCACATCAACAATTGCCTGCATTCTGCGCCAGCTCCAGAGACCTCACGGCAGTGTTCTTCACTGTTTTATACATGTCTGATATTTGCGTGTGAACTAAGTCACCACATCCTACAATTTCCATGCCACCTCTCTCTGTCTTTCTCTCTCTCTGATGTGTGTGCATGTCTGTGTGTGTGTATATGTGTGCATACATGTGTGTTCCCACGTTCACTTGTATATTACATTGCAGGGAGATACAAACCACACTGCAGCACACTAACAACGCTCACACCCGTATTATGAAACTTTATTATGCTCTTGGCAAACACAGACAGTGTCTGTAGTACGCCTCCATCCAGCTGAAGCTACTGGACTCAGGCCAGCTGAGAGGACTAATCCGTGCTCTGAATAGCCTTCACAAAGACACAGCTCCACTGTTTCTGAATGACGATACAATCAGAAATACCATCACTGTGATACGTGTCTATAAATCTAAATTAACTATCTGACCAGCTAGAGACTGAAATTTAAAAGCTTGTCAAGGCCTCACCACTTCTCATTACCCCATGCCTGGCATGTTATGAATATGTAGAGCCTTGTGCTGTTTTTACATTATCCAGGGAGGATTGACCTATATTTTTTTCTGACTTTGAGATATTTTATTGCATTATTTAGTTTCTTATGAGCGACCATTAGTAAAAGAAATAATGAAACTAAAAAAACTAAATAATTAAACAATGAATGAACACATTGTTCAATCATTTTTTATCTTGCTGTTTTCAAGATTTATTCATCTGACGAGAGGCAAAATGATTGTGCTTCAACAAATAATAATAAATAATTCATCTTAGATAAAGATTCCCTGATTGCAATGCTATACTCACATTCAGAAACACATAATTCATGACAGAATTTCTGTTGTTCTGTTTTGCTCTGTTTAAAATGTTCTGTTTGAAGATGAGCTTTCCTGAGCTGCGCTCTGATTGGGTACGCCTTGTGACACCTCACACCTCTCTGTCATTGGATGTTATTGAGGTTCTTTGTTCTTTGAGGATGCCATTGTGATGCTTTTAGTGACATCGCTCAAAAAATAGAATTCTGGGACCAGCCTGAAAGAACAACCACAGTCCTCAGTGATGTCACACCTGTGTGTCAGACATGGGCGTGTCCACGGCTCTCAGGGACTCTGTGAGCTTGTGTGGGCAGTGGGGAGGGTTGTGTCTGTGGCAGGGTGGAGATATGGCTCAAGCCCTCATTAAACCTGAATGTGTTAATATCAAGACGGAGGAGCGACCAGGCCACAGATCTGGATATCTGATTGGGTGTGTGTACAGGGATGGAGAAATGACTAGGGCTTTGATTTGGGTATTTGAACCTTTATTTATGTGGTGCGAGGGGGTGGCAATAGCAATACTAGTGGCAAGGGCACTTTATACTGTAAACTTGAAAATATGTGCATTACGGTAGAGTACAGTACCACTGATAAACAGCAAAAGTGAGAATACTGGTCTTGTTCAGTATGTTCAGAAACATCTACGCTCCTGTAAACTTTTATGCTGAGAGATACAGACTAAACCCTGAGAAAACTGCTCATTTAGCTATTTTCTCCTGTAAGAATCCTGCCATTACAATGGGCGAGAGTGTGTATGGGTTTAAGATTGTGAACCACTCTGAATAAAGATATGAAAGATATGTAAGATATGATGTAAGATATGAAGTACAGAAACCACAGAAACAGAAACCATGCTATCTTGGCATAACTATATTTTTCCATGTAAGTTTAATTAGTTTTTAAGTAATTTACCTTCACCTCTTAAATGGAACAGGGGCAGATGGGATAGATTATGATATCAGCTCTGCTGTATATTGAGGGGTATGTTTGCCTCCATCCATCATCCACGGGAGATGAACACCTTTATTAATGATGTGCAGCAGGCTTGATAAATCGACCATTCAAAGCAGGTAGAACGCACGTTTCTGTTTATATAACCAAAACATGTTTTTGTGTTTCTCCAGGAGGAAACGCCCTTAAGGGATTTTTGTCGGTTGAGATGTCCACAGACTGCGCTGTGATGAATGCGTCTATTTAAGGTGAACAACCCCCTGCAGTGTCTCCAGGGTGGAGAGACCAGAGCCCACGCCCGGGCCTTGTCAGGTGCTGTTCGTCACATCACCTGCTCATGGGCCCGTGCTCGGTGCCTGCAAGGAGGGAATTTCGGGAATCGAACCCGGAGCAGGCAGAAACGGAGCTGGGCTGCAAGCATGGGCAGGGTTATGTTAAAAAAAACCGTAGAGGAAAACCGCAGAGGATAAACAGAACATGCCCAGTCATCCGGACACATCATACCTCACCATCAGATACATAAATAAGACCGTGTCAATCACAAACTCCCTCTGGCTGGCTGGGTTTATATAACATCATTTTTGTTACTACATTACTAATCGCTGTGCATTGCATTGTGGGATTGCCTGGGAGCATCTACTGTTGTGCAGAAGTCATTTGCTGGGTAAAATTGCTTGTACAGGTATGGCTATGTTAAAAGCATTTTAGAAGTGTAATAAAAGGTTATTTATGAATTTATAGAGGACATGAAGTGACGCAGTGTGGTGCAGTGGTCACAAGTAAGGCTTGTAACTGAAAGGTTGCTGGTTCAATTCCCCGCTGGGGCACTGCCATTGTATCCTTGGGCTGTATAATAAACAGATAATATGTAAAATTGTAACCTGGGTAAGTTGCTCTGGATAAGATCATCTGCTAAATGACAGCAATGTCATGTAATGTAATGAAGAGCCGATGTGGAGATTGGGGGCTCTGTTAATGCTTCAGTAAGCATCCTCTGTCTCAGGAGGCCCTCAGAGAAGTTGCTTTGTACAACAGTTTCTTCTCTGCCTGTGCATTAGTTTTGCTATCTCAGAGGTTCCTTAGGGGTTACTGTGGGTCATTTTTGAGTATTTCGGGCGCTCTGGTCACCAGGCCGTGGTGGGGCTGTGGGTAGGAATATTTCGGGTGCCCTGGTCACGGCGATGTGCCGGGGCCGTCCCAGTGCGACGGGCTGACGGGACAGTCATTTCCCCCGATGACTCAAACGCGGGGCTGACACCCACTGTGGGAAAAGCTGACAGAGCCTCGCTCAGCACAGTCACGGTTGGGTGACATCACAGACAGGAACCCGGAGCCACGCCCGGGGGGGGAAGGTGATGTCACACGTCCCCGGTAGGAGGTCGGGGGCCAGGGAGAGGGGTTGAAAGTGTGTCGCTAGCACATGTACACGCACACAGACACGTACTGTACCGCAAATAAACACACGCATAAGACGCACTCCCACTGCCGTCAGCACACTTTTGTAGTGTGTTGTCACTGGGCACTACTGAGCCAAAGTAATTATTTACTACCCAGTTTGGGTGCTAACTGACACGTCCCTCAACCACTGTTTAATACAGAACTTACCAGCTACAATTACCTCACACCACACACAATCTTGTGCGTATGCTTTTCTGAATGCTCTGTGAAATATCATGCTTTAAATTCAATTCAATTTAGTTTTATTTCTATAGCACATAGGACAAAGGGAATTTGTCATAAAGCAGCCTTACTGAGGCCACAGGCCTGAGCAAGCCTACCACAACAGCGGTACTCTACCTCACTTGCAAGTCACTTTGGATAAAAGCATCTGCCAAATGAATAAATGTAAATGTAAATGTAAATGTAACAGTGACAACAAAAAAATTCCCCCACTAAAAGTAAGAAACCTTGAGCAGAATCTGACTCAGAACGGGGGAGCCCATCTGCCTCTGTGTGGCCCCAGGCTGTTGAATTAGGGGAGTGGTCACATAATGGTATGACACTCTTGGGAGTAACTGCCAAAAGAGAACAGCAGCTTCCCACTAGCATGGATCATTGTCTGCAAATTAAGCCTTTCTGCTCTGGTTCACATGTCTCTAGTGCATAAAAGGGCTGTCTTGCATCACATAGATATACTAACGAACCCTGTCGTGACGTTTCCCCAAAGTGGGGTTTGGGGTATCTCTGTGTGTATTACCCCACCTCTGGAAAGGCCAGAGCTTAACCACCTGTTTATAGTGTTTTATGGTGTTTAAAGATACACACTGTCACAGTGGTCAAGCTTTTTATAAACCACAGATTAATTCCTGTTCATCTCTTTGTTGAAAAAAAAAAACAGAATGAACACAGGAAAAATAATGCATTTATGGCTTCCTTGATGTTTTCCACTTCCTGGATCTATATTTAGAAGTGTATGAAAGACTGGACAGGTACTCTTTTTTCCAACACAGCCTCTTGGATTTCATTGGTTGCTCGCCGCCCTTTTGATTGCAGAACAAGTTCTTGGAAAACGGAAAAGATAACAGCTTATATGATCCCAGTTCTGAGAAGCAGCTGGCTGAAACACAAGATGCTTATTTTTCGCCGGTGCGTCTTGCAATGCAGTCATGCAGGTTTCGCTCCCTTTATTTCGATTTTCTCTCTTCCTTTTCTGTTCATCTGACATTCATCTGACATCTTTTTTTCTGTGTGTAGTCCTGCCATTTTATTGCTTGGACCTAAAAAAACAGAAGTTATAACGTACTGAACGATGCAGGGGCATTCTTATTGTGAAGCCCCTGTTTCTGCTGAATAATGAAGTCTTGTAACCATTTCAGAGAGCAGGCATGGATGATAAAATGCAAGTGGGCAGTCCAAATGGTCTAAACATTTAAGGCCTGTGGCTGTTTCACCTTAAACACCTTCTGAACTTGCTCTTGCCCATTTCCTCCAGGGAGTATGTATGTGACGTGGTATTAATGAAATTACTGATAAGAATTTACTTTTCCATTTTTTCAAACCGAGGGATTTATCGTAAGTGGCTCATTCAACATGATGTTATCACAACCCTAACTGTAAATGAGCTGTCTTACTAAATTTAGGCCAATGACATAATCTCACTTTAATTCAGTCAAGCCAAAAACCCAGGCCAGAGGCAAAGTTTTGGCCTAACCACCCTCTGATCTGGTGCATTAAAGGCAAATTATAAGGGAATATTTTAGCTACTTAATGCATTTCCCATTTAGGAGTTTATGTGTCCATCTATGACACTGTTCAAGCACATATTATCCTGAGCGAAAAGGTATTTGATATACTACTATATACTACAACGTATGTAAGAGAATCTGACAAAAAGCAACCCCCTGTGCCAAGGACATGTCCTGTGTCATGTCCATCTCTGAGGCTTGGCCTTCCTGTAGGAATCCCAGGGCTGCTGGCAGGGTCCAGATGGGACAGAAGTTGACATGTTCTCCAAACGGTGGCCAGGAGGCACTCTGACCAGAGTCAGCCCTCGCTGTCCTGTGGGAAGTTTAAATTAGGGAATTGAAAATCGGTCAGATAGGACAGGCTCTCAGTTCCGCCACTGAGTTTGTGTTTACTTCACGCGTGTAGATAAACACAAATACACACACACAAATGGGCACATATGTGGACACAAACACACACACAGGCAAGCGGACATACACGTACACTCACGCATTCATTTCAACAGGGTCCATTTTTGTGAATTTTGTGGACTTTTTCCTCAAGCTCCCTCCTTACTTTCAAAGGACCTGGGAGGCAACTCAATACAGGGGAAAGGTTCTACCCTAATTTTCAATGGCAAATGTAAGACACTGTTAATGCTGCTTGCAGCTCCTGAATATTTTCTTTGTATTTCAAGCTGAAATTACTAAGGTCACAGTATGGAGCAAGTGCAATGCTGCCTTAAATTTAGAATTGAAAGCCAATGTGCTCCTCCTCTTTGAATCAATTTGGAATGATATTTTTATCCATCACTGTCCCTTATGTGGGATTCACTTTGATTTTTAAATTCTGTTTGATTTTTGCATTTATTAATGACTTGGCTTTTATATGTCTCAGATGACTCAGGTTCGAACATGTTCTAGTTTACCATTATTCTAGACAGAGCCATTCTTTTAAAATCCTAACTAGAGATAAATATACTGTGTGTAAAAAAATGCAAGTATGTTTGCTTTTTTAGATGTCCTCATTGTCCTGTTTTTTTTTTCCTTTCTGAAAACATAGGAAAAAAGGTAAAGTGTGTGTGTGTGTGTGTGTGTGTGTGTGTGTGTGTGTGTGTGTGTGTGTGTGTGTGTGTGTGTGTGTGTGTGTGTGTGTATGCTTATGTGTGTATTCAGCAAAGAATTTGGGGAACCAAGCAATGGGAACTTGCTGGCTGCAGCTGAAACATTTAGCTGCTGTAGATAAAGTTGCTGTTGGGTTAATGATATAACCAGTAATAGATTTCTGTGCAGCTTTATCTAACCTTGTTAAAACAGAATCTCTGGTGACAGATTGATTTTTGCCATTTTTTTGTTTCTAAACATTGAACAGGGCATCATTCAAGGTTTTAATTTTTTTTTCCCTCTGGAAGTTACCTTTTACTGTGGCTTGAGTGAAATGCTATCTCACATTTCAGTTGGGTCACAGAATGATAATTCTATAAATAAATTTCTAACTTCCATGTCACTCTGTGCAGCAAAAATTGTGTCACGAGCTCAGATTTCATGTTTGCGTTTCCTTTTATGCCCGGCCTATTTTGAGACTGGTATTCATTCAGACAATATTCATGTCACCCCATCAGAAACACAACAGCTCACAACGACACAGTCACTGCAAAGAGTCCTGCTATTGTGACCTCACAGTCGACATGCAGGGGGAACATCGGTGGCTCAATAATGGAATAACATGAAATTCAATATCACAAGACCTGCCTTGTGAAAAAAACAGGCATGATATTCGGTTTCAGCGAGTTGCTTCACACTGGTTTGATCCCTTTGGCTGTTGGTGGGAACCTGTCAGCCTCCGGCTCTGATTGGTGGAGACACACCCAGTGGCGCGCGGCGTCTGGCGCACGTGTGTGCGTGTCTCGGATGCTTTGGATTCTGTCCTCATCTGTCAGAAAGTGAGCTCAGATGTGAAATAGGTCCCCCCAAAAGCACGAGAATTTGAAAGATGGAAGGTGAAATTGCTGGCAGGCCCTCAGCTTTGGTAGGGCCTGTTGTGACAGCTTTTTAACTACAAGGACACTGACACAGCCCTCAAGCCTCCTGTATTACACCTTAAGGCTCAAAATCAAGAGAAAAAGGGCAGAATTCACAAACAACAGTCCGGGGTGTCTCCTCTCTCTGAGGGTAAGACTAGTGTGTGGCTGAGCGAGAAGCCACAGCTGAGTCAAGTCTCCTGTTTAGTGGAGCATGGTCCATGGTCTTTTGATGACAGTTGGGCGAGCTGATCCTGGAACACCTGTTGGGGGCAAGAAGCACTTGCATCCTGATTCCACAGCTTGTTGTCAGTTCTGTCACTGCCCTCTGTTGGTCATGGTGGTGTTAATCTGTAGTTGCTTCAGAGACAGAATTTAGATTTTATCTCGGCGTCTTTATATTCCTTAATCTGTCATTGTTGCCATTCTTTTAGTATTAGTTTTTGGTGGTGCTGGCCTCAGGAGTGATGCAGTGAGCTTGCAGAGGTGTAGAGAAAGTGTATTAGAGAGACAGTGTATTTTAAAACAAGCCTTGGCGTTGGGAGGTTTGTTCGTGTGTTTGCTCTGCGTGTTTGACTTTCTGTCCCCTGCACTGCCAAAAGACGGATAGGCCTTTCCTTGCTCCATCAGTCTTTTCACA